GTCTGCAGAGCGTGGCAGCAGTCTCACAAAGGAGGGCTGAACACTTTGAGCTTCCTGTAAAACTTGGTCAATAAAAGACATAAGAAGGTTGCAGATTTCTCCCCTTTATTTGCCTTAATGTGGGCCAAGAAAAATCTTTTCATGATGGCTTTTAGGAACTGAGCAAGACTGATAATGGAGTAGGTTTGGCAGGACAATGTTACTGATCCTAGAAGTTTGGGATTTTTTTTAACTAGAGATTCCCTTTCTGTACAGATAGTCTTTGAGGACACCACCTGAACTACCTGGGGCTGGGGGCAGTCGTTTGTATGCTTATTTAGTTTAGAAGTGAATGTTTTTGCTGACTCTCCCTTGCAGGGGTACTTGATGCACACCCTCGGTCAGCAGATTGTTTGGAAGCTGCTGAGGCTACAGGACAGAGCTGGAGGTGAGAGTGGTAACACCACAGGCACGTGCTGTATTTGGACATCATCAGGTCCTTAAAAGAGGTAAGAAATCAGTGGTAGGACACTGATCTCCAGGCTTTCATCTGCATCATAAACTTCCTTGCTTGAAAATAACAGTAGGTCACTGTTAAAGACTAAGAATCTCTTTCAAAGTCACTGTTAGTTTTATCACCAAAATCGTCACTTAATACACTGCTGGGATTTCTTAAGAGGGGAAAAAAAGCTGAATCAGATTTGAAATAGAATGGGCCTCTGTCTGAGAGGAGAGGAAGGGTATTTCACTAGGACAGTGGACAACTCAGGTTTCACTGTTGGGAAGAAGGTCATCTGCTAATTGCATGTTATCCCAGAATGAGCAATTGAAGCAGATTACTAAAGACCCTGTTTTCTTAGCTCCTGGTTGAGAGTGCATCATGTTTTCAGATGCTTTCCCTGACATCTGGCATTAGTTTAAACATTGATATTCTGTCTTCTGTTAGTCAAAAAAGGCCACTAAAAGTGGCTTTCAGCATCAAAGAACATTTTCATTCGTTTGAACCTTCCCAGTGATTTTCACACAAGAACACAGAATATTCCTGGTTTAGACAGTCTAGGACTATTTTCTAAGACATTTCTCAGCACTCTGGTTTATTTTTTTTCTCGTAAAATAAAGCTAATTGACCTTTTTGATAGGTGGCCTTACAAAGGGCACAGAAATTCCTCATCTTACCTGTGCTTTTGGGGGTTGATTTTGTGCCTTGACCACTTGTATACTACTGAGAAAAAGGGGACACTGCAGCCATCCTACCTCCTGCCTCCTTCCTCCCCTAAATACCTTGAATGACCTGTAAAGCTGATAAAGGTTAAAGCATCTTGAATACTTTGAAATTAAGATAATTCCCCCCCTTGTTTACAGTACAAAAATTTTATTTTTTGTTAGGATAATTTAAAGTTTAAAACTGAAGTAGACATATTCATTTTACAAACAAGATATTCTTCCATAAGTAGGACCATTAAAAACAGTCAACAAAAAAAAAAAGCTATCTTTACAAAAGCTCTGTGCATAGCAACTTCATACTGTATATAACTGACAAAGCAAATAAAAAAAACCCAAAAAAATCCAACCAGCCAACCCCAAACAAACCCCAAAACTATACAGGAGGGAGAAATGAGGCCTTAATTTACAGGGGGGAGAAAAACGGTCTTTAAAAACCATGCATATTGGAAGTGTGCAAAGAAAGAGGGAGAGTAAGATGCTCTACCAAGATAAATAAGGAAATAAAATGTACTCTTTCCAAGTTGGGATGAAATTTGGAGTTACCTATCTCAACGCTTCCGTCGCTCTAGTGGCAGAAAGGAAAGCTGCTGGGGAGCAGTGGACAGCAAGAACTAAAAGAGGACAGATTTCCTTAGTACACCAAAAAACTTCTTACACCTAAATTTTTACATTGCTTTTCCTTTTTGTTAGGTGCTTTGCCACTGCC